CCCCAGCCACGTGCGCGTCCCCGGCAGGACCAGGACTGGTCGGTCAGCGTGGAGCTGCGCCCGTGCGCCCGCGGCCAGTCCGGCACGTGCCTGACCAGCGTGACGCTGCTCCTGAATTCGGTGAGTGCCGGCGCCTCCCTGTGCGCAGACCCCGCCGGACGCAGGAGGGTGCGGGGTCGGGTTTGCAAGCGGCTCGGGGCCTCCGCAGGGCGCCGGCCCCCTCCTCCACACGCGCAGGGCGGGGGCCTCCCCGCGCAGACCTTCGGGGTTTCCCCTGGGCAAACTGGGGCCCTGATTCCTGCCGGCTGTCTCCAAGCGCTGCCGGGAGCGGGCGTGACCGGCGTCGGGGGGATTCTCACGGTGGACGTTCCGCCCTGGGCCGGGGCGCGCGTCTGGCCCAGGGCCGGGCGCTCACGCTGCGCTGCACAGTCTGTTTCAGCCGACAAGTACGTGTTCCGCGAGGACGGCTCGTTCACACACGACGACGCCAGAAACCAGAGCTCCCACCACTCCGGTGAGCTGCGGCCGCGTCACGGTGGCTGCCACCGCTCCTTTGCTCAAGGCTTACTCTTAATTACTTTTTGAGATTTATTTCTTTGTGTGACATGCACAAGAGCTGGGGTGCAGCCAGAGGTGCGGGGTGAGGGGGCCCCAGAGACAGAGCGGGGAGCAGGGCAGGCGGGTCCCCGAGACGCACCGCCGAGGGCCAGCGGGGCGACGGGGCGCCTGCTGCGCCCTGGGACCCCCGGCCGGGGTGGACTCAGGCCGCAGTGGCTGTGGCAGCCTGACGGTGCTGAGGCCCCCCCTGCGCCCCGGGAGGCCCCGTCCCCCCCAGGTCTCGAGGCGTGAAGTGGCTGTTTCAGCAGGCGGCGGGGCGGCCTCGGGGAGCCAGGCGGGCCGGCCACTGACCGCCGCCTCCGCAGACCACGTGCAGGTGTTCAGGGCGTCCTCCTCGTACCTGCAAGTGGAGACGCACTTCCACGTGAAGATGCAGATCCAGACGGAGCCGGCCATGCAGCTCTACCTGTCCATGCCGCCCGGCCGCTTCTCGG